CAGAACACTGATTAAGAACGTTATTTCAGATTTTTGGGGCAGGGTGAGTGTTAGAGAGTCCGTTATTGTATTGTTCTAGAGAAGTTAATCGAGTATGTTTGCATGAAAGGGGCCTATGCCCGTTGCCCCCGGTGATGGTGGTGGGGACTCTGGTGGTTGCATCTCCTCGAGAAGGAACTATGGCAAGAGTGTCACTATTTGTACGTCCTCATGTGGGTCTGGTGAAGCGTGATTGGGGACCATAGTGGGTGATGAGCTCTAAGAGTTGGGTGGTGTGGGTGTATTTCACCGTGGTGGTGGAACTGTTGCATGTTGATTTGTTGCTGCCGCTTGCATGTCGAATATTTGATTATTAAGCTTCAGTGCTATCATCTTTTGAACTTGGAGAAGCTGGTGTGCATGTTGTATTATCATGTTGGAGTGCAATCCTTGTGAGACACAATGGGAGAGAGTAGTTGTGTTCTCCATCAGCAATGTCACTTGTTGTATCATGAAATCGTAGTTCCAACGATAGGGAAGATTTTGTGGTGGTGCTTCCTCCTGTACCTAGGAAGGAGTTCAGGTTGTGTGTGGTCGTAATATTGTTGGTTGTGCGGATGAAGGTTGTTCTTGTAAGCCAGAGGACATTTGTAGGGATTGTATTAGTTGTTTAGAGGGTTTGCGTACCCCATATGAATAAAGGGTGTCTGGAGATTAAAGGTTTTGGTAACGGAGTGGATTTGGGTGTCTTTCATCCTTGGGAGGTGGTGGGTTGGAAAAGGTACCTGCTGGTAGCGGGCGTAGTACCCATTGGCTCTTCGATAGGGTTCTTCATAGTTCCTACGAGCGTTGTTCCTTAGTGGTGATCGAGGCAATTTGTTTGGTAGTAACGTGGGAGAGTGAGGGGTTGATTTGTGAAGAGGGAGAAGCGGTGGTGTTTGAGATATAAGGAGGGAAGGATGAGGGGTTGAGTGGTATAGGACACAGTAAGGGGCCATCATTTAGGTGGAAGATGTTGGGATTTGACTGGCCGGAGATGGAGTAGTTTGTATCCATATCGGGCAGTGCCAGAGATTGAGTTGCAAGTGCTGGAGGGGGTGCATTAGATGCACTGGTAGAGGGAATGATTATTTACCTAGTGTGAGATGTGGGTTGGGTACAGAGGGTTTTTTCAAGTGGATAAGTGTCCAGGTTTGATGTGCTTAATTGCGTGGGAATTGTATTTGACCTAAGGGATGATATTTTAGGCAATTTTTGTTTGGAAACTAATTTTTTGGGAGTGATATTGAATTCCGGTGGTGGGAAGTTAGTATGAGAGAGAGTTGAATTTTAGGTTTTTGAAAGGTGATTTTTGGATGTTGTATGCACGGTATTAGCTGGGGTGTTAGGGCTGATGTGATCTTTTGGGGGCGTGGACATGGAGGTAAGGTAGTATTTCAGTGGGTAGCTGTGTAAGTGGGGCTCGGTGCAGTATCAGACGCATTAAAATACAAAAGGACGTAGAAGGGGTTGTGTTTGGTGATGGACTTGGTGGAGACGAGCTTGGTGGGGAGCCTGCCACGTGGAAAGTATGTGGCATGTGGATCCATGTTAGTGAATGACGCGGTTGTTGCATGGGCAGACCTTGCCATATGGAGAACCAGTGATAGCAGTGAGCCCACATGGGCAGGTGGAATGGTTTGACGTGGCGACTTATCAATGGTATTGGTTGACTGAGAGATGTGATTGTTGGAAAAAATTTGGGAAAGAGGTGGAGTAAACCTACCGTCAATTTCAACTGATGCTGTAGAGCTGCCGTCAAATCCTTTGGATCGATTTTCTCCATCCTTTGGAGATGTAGGGTGTTGTTCTTCTTTTTTATTTGGAATGTCTTGGATTGGTTCCGATATATCTTTATTGATTTTTCCTTCTTTTGTTTTCTTTGAATTCAACTTTCCCAGACGAAACAGAGTGGGGTTCAACATGTTATTTTCCTTTCCTTTTTGGGTATACTATTGTTTTCCATGGGCCTTCAGACGTACCTGGTTGTTTGGCGTCATCGTTGGTAGGGGAATTTTTTGTTCCCATGTTGATCTGGCATTGGTAGTTTATGTGTCCCAAGTATCCACATAGTATGCATAGGGGTTTTGTGTTTTGGTAGTAGATTTGTTGGAGATGGGTGTCAAGGAGTACTATTATAGGCAAAGGTCTGCCTAGTGGTGCCAGGATGCATAAACGTGCATAGAGACCTCGATTGGCTTGTACTGTGCAGATATCAATTTTTAAGAGTGTTCCTAGTAGTTGGGCAATCTTTTTTAAGATGAGGATGTCATAAAACTTAGTGAGTAGATCTTGTAATCGTATCCAGATTGTGACAAACATGGGTTGGGCATTGTGTGGGTTGAATTTAGGTTCCCATTGCCTGACTGATAGGTATTGGGGTCCGATGAACCATGGTCCTTGGTGTAAAGCTTTAGTATAGTTGTTTACGGAGACAAATTTTATGAGGTAGTAGTTGTTACCTAGATCTGTAATATTAAGTGCTTCAGATGGTCTCCATAGCCGATGCAGCTTGTCCTTAAGAAGATTGTAGCCCACACTCCTCCCAAGAAGCTGGATGATGAGGGCTTGTTTCCAAGGCAAGTAAAACCTTTGTTTTTCCTAGCCTGATATGGGGATAAAGTTAGGGTGATTCTCGGGGTTTGACTGTTCATTCTCAAGGGGGATGTTGTTGAATATACTACAGTCAAAGTCCAAAGGGTTGTTAGTAGTGTTAGGGGATAGCAGCTTTTCTTTGACGCTTCCGTTGTCATTTGTCTCCTCTTTTGTTTTATTTACGCTGCGAAGTAACTGATCTGCTTCTTCATCATTCATCAATGTGTCAGTAGTTTGAGCCATAGTGTTTATGATTTTGTTTTGCTTAATTGGTTTTTCTCTCTCTATGTTTTTAGAGAGAAGGGAGAGAAGTATGAAAGTTGTATTCTGCACCTTTTATTTTTTCAACTTAAATTGTTAAACTCGGTCTTGGCAATTTCATATGCATGCACTAAGATTTTTAACTTTCAAACACTTTTTCTCAATTTTAACGTGATTTTGTTTTTTCAAATTTCAGCTAAATTTTTTTCAAAAAGCTATTAATGTTTCACTTAGTGGAACAATCATCAATTACGTCCTACTATAATTCCTAGGGTCGTGGTCGATTCGATAACTCTCAAGAGTAGAGGTAGCGCAAATGAACAAGTTAGGTCAAATTTAAATTGGCCATGACAGATCAAATCAATAAATGAATCACAATTAAACTAACTAAAAATTTACTAGAGTCGTCAATAGTAAAAAACAAGGGAATGTTACACAAATAGTCGGCCAAATTCAATGTTTACTTTTTCTAGTCGGTATACATACATTATATATTGATTATACGTAGTTATACATATATTATACATGAAGTATAGATATATTATATATTCACCGGCTATTTATAGTTTAAGTAATTAGGTGGGCGGCTATATGGGTTAATTCTTAAAAAAACAAGAGGTTATGCAAGAAAAGGTACCTGTTGGAACATTGGTATATAAAGGTAATGAAATCAACTTTTATGGCCTGATAAATGGATCTCTTCTAATGTGCCTCTCGCTCTCAAGAGTTAATTCATGGGCCATTAACCTCAAAGTTGGTCACACAAGTTTTTGGGAAATATTGCGGAAACTGAAAATAAAGGCTTTTATAGTGTAATTACTAATTTTAAGGATTTTATACCCACTTTTTAAAAAATTATAAAAAAAAACGGCAAAGGGTCAAATATACCCTGTACTTTTGAAAATGGTCTAAAAATACCCCTCCATATACTATTGGGCTATATATACCATTCCCTTCATACTTTGGAACAAATATACCCTTATTTTGGATATAGTGCCACATGGCAGCACCAGATACAAGCGATCCATTTCTTTTTTTTTTTACCCGATCCGTTTTAAAAAAACCCACCACCCGACCCGTTTTAAAATTCAATTTTTTTAGTTTTTTTAAAGCATATATTTTGTAAAAACTGGAATATTTTTTGTAAAAAAGAAAAGAAAAGGAATTTGCAAAATATATTTTTTTAAGTCTTTTTAGTTTTTTAAAGTATTTTGTTTGTAAATCTGAAGAAAAACAAATTGTAAAAACTGGAAAAAAATAAAAAAAGACTCTCCTAAAGCATTTTAAAAAATGAAAATATTTTGCAAAGTCTTTTTTTTTTTCAGTTTTTACAAAAAAATACTTTAAAAAACTAAAAAATGTATATTTTTAAAATTCCTTTTTTTCAATAAAATATTTTTTTATAATGCTTTAAAAACTGAAAAATATATATTTTGTAAAAACTGGAGAAAAAAAAAGAAATTTGCAAAATATATATTTTTCAGTTTTTTAAAGTTTCTTAAAACTGAAAAAAAAGGATTTTGCAAAATATTTTTATTTTTTTAAAACTAATGCATATGTAGTCCACTGCTTTAGGAGAGTATTTTTTTTTCCAGTTTTTACAAAATATATATTTTTCAGTTTTTTAAAGTTTCTTAAAACTGAAAAAAAAGGATTTTGCAAAATATTTTTATTTTTTTAAAACTAATGCATATGTAGTCCACTGCTTTAGGAGAGTATTTTTTTTTCCAGTTTTTACAAAAAAAAAATTCACTTTTTACTTTAATAATTCTAGTTTTTACAAAGTATATGCTTTAAAAAAAACTGAAAAAATTGAATTTTAAAACGGGTTGGGTGGTGGGTTTTTTAAACGGGTCGGGTAAAAAACGGTTCGTTTTCATATGGTGCTGCCACGTGGAACTCTATCCAAAATAATGGTATATTTGTTCTTAAGTATGACGGGAAGGGTATATATAGGCCAATAGTATAACAATGAGTATTTTTAGACCATTTTCGAAAGTACAAATATATATTTGACTATTTGACGAAAAGAAAATACCCCCACTATATGTTTTGGGAAGTCTTTACGTTTGTTCTGAATAGCTTTAACTAATTGCTAAATCAACATGTTGGGCACGATTAAGAAATAAAAAGAAGTAGAGAAAGTTAAATGCACAAATCAATTGCTACTTACAATAATACATTTGAGATTTTGTTAAAATTTAGAAGAATATCACTTTTCTACTCAACTGAAAAAATCACCTTTATTGAATAAGATCGGCTCAAATCGAAAGCTCAAATAAAAAAGAAAAGTAGGCGCTTTTAAGAATACTGTAGAGTAGCTCGTCCTACATTGGGTGACTTGCTGAAGCCTTGTGTTCGTTTCAGTAACCTGGAATCTTAAACACCTTTCTGGACATTTTAGGTGCAAAAGCTTGTAATAGAGGGGAATTTGTAACAATTCAGTGGCAAGTCTGGTGTGTCTATCAATTGGACAGAACTTCGGTCGAAGTACCAATCGCTAAATGCCTCTGCAATTGTCTGTTAAAAAAAATACACACACATACACAACTTACATATTCACATTGTAATGAAATCTTTACGTTAATAGTACAGTTTAACCAGTTATAATAAGCTACTTGCCTTTTTTCTAGGTTGTTAAATTCATTATTATAATAATCAGATACATGTAGTTACCACTAGAGGCTAATCAAGTATTTAAAATTAACAGATTCAACCTTTAAAGTTCTCCGCATTGAATTTATTATAATTTTGAAATTACGAATTCATAAAACTTACTAACTTTTCTCATGTGTTTCATGCTAAAAATATCAGTTGAACTCGCAGCTAATAAGCTATATCAGCCACTAATAGTTACCTTTTAAATGACATTTATTTGATTTGACAAATATTCTTAATATTGCTCTTGTGTAAAAGCTAAGCCCAAGGACGAAATAAATCAAATGACTCTCGTCTGAGCAATCAACCCATTTTTAGTGAGTGTTTGAGAAAAAATGAGTGGATATAGTAAATTATAGGGATCTTTACACAAATAACAGATCAGATTTACTGTTTATATTTTTAAAATACAGAATGCACAACCAAAAATCATCAAAACACCTAAAATTGAAGTTGATTTACCTTATTATGTACCGTGAAGCCATTCCAACCAACACCACTTAATATTTGGGAATGAATCAAGCAAGAGTCAATAAACATTCCTCTTGATGAAGAACAATCACTTTGTTTCGGTAATGCACTTAAGAATTCCTGTTTAAAATCTGAAATAATGAAACAATAAAAATTACATGAGGTTTTCCAAATTTCATGAGTTCCACATATTTAATTAAATCCAAATTCGACTTGGTTATATAGATAAAATAAAGGACAACTCGGTGCACGAAACATCCCGCATTTATGTAGGGTCCGGGCAATAGGCCGCAACCCAAGGGATGTGATGTAAATAGTTTACCCTGATGTTTCCCTGATGCAAGCATCAGTGGTTGATTCCACGGCTCGAACCCCGGACCCGTAGGTAACATGGAGATAACTTTGCTATTGCTCCAAGGCGCGCTACTCTTGGGTATATGGATAATTCTTTAATAAATAGAATATGAAGTTTAATTTGGCCTTGAACTTGCATCACTAACCTTGTAAAGTCTTAACAAGAGTAGCTGAGCACGTATTGTTATTAAGGTCTTCATAATAACCAAGAAAAGTCTTGTTTATCTGATTACATTCGAAGATAAAAGATTGTTAATGCAAACTCATTATATAAGATACAATATTAAGAAATTGAATACTTTGTGTTAAAAGATGACATAGATATCAAATTCTAATTTAATGTCTTTTAATGCACTTAATGGATAATTGAGTTAACCTGAAATGTGTCAAACATTGAGTTGACTATGAAAAATGGTGTCTGGATTTCTTGTTGAAAATATTGTGGAAAAAGGCACTGCAAATTCATTAAACATAACATTAGTTTGATATTACAATTGGGTAAAACCCTTGAATGGCAACGGATTCTTACCAAAGATGGTCTCATTTTTGAAATGCAGGATGATGGCAACATCTTGGCTGAATGCTGCAGTTCATTTTTAAAAAAAAAAAATCACAACAAACAATACTGAATAGTACTCTCTCCTTTCCAATTTATGTGATGCACTTTCTTTTTTAATCTATTCCAAAAAAAATAAAAATTTTCTATACTTAGAAATAATTTAACTTTTAAATTTATTATTTTATCCTTAATGAAAATAATTTATAATCACATAAATATGTATGCTTTATTTTAGACCACAATTTTAAAAGATTTTTTTTTTAATATCATGTCCAGTTAAAATGCATCATATAAAATGAGATCGAGGGAGTAATTGTGAGGATTGATAAGGGAAATAACTATGGTACTAAAGAAAAAGGAGTGACAAAACAGAAAGAAGGAAGAAAAATTGTACATGTAAGGTAATTAGTCCTTCATTGACAATATCCATGAATGGTATTTCCTTCATGTTTTTCCTGTTACACAAATTAACAACACTGTAATTCATTGCAATAGCACTATTAATTACAACTGGATTGACAATGTATAAGTATTTTTACGCCATCTGCATGTTAAGTTAACCTATTGTTAGGACCGAAAAAATCAAGTGTCATGCGGAAGCTAGTAAATCAAACCTTGAACGACGATAAATCAAATAACAAAAGAGAAATATATCAAAAGAGACACAAATATTTAACGTGGTCGGTCAATTGACCTACATCAATGGCGGAGATGAGCAATCTACTATATAAAAGAGAGTACAAAATATCGAGAGAACAACATCACGAAGAGGCAAACAAAAGTGACACACTAACACTTCTCCCGTAAAGTTCACCCCCTAAACAAGACTCTCAAACCCCGTATGGCTACATTGTGGATGCTACCGAATAAGAAGGAAGGATCCTCAATATATAGAAGTCCAAACATTTTCCTCCAAGAAAAGGGACTAGCCAAATATGAAAGATTTATATTTTTCTTTACGTAAAAGGAAAAATCAACTATGGTAAATATATTGTCCTTCCTTCAAGGAAATGGAGAACCAAATATGATAAGAAAATCAGGACAAAAACCTTACACCTACGACATGTAACTTTTCACGGTAATCTGATATGACAATTTGAAAAAAAGACGAACGTACGTACTGTCAATTAAAATATAGTAATTGTATAAAATCTTTTACGATATCAGTATATTATACTGGCTCTTAGGTTAATTCTTACTTGTGGAGAAAATAACTACCATCAGCAAGACACTTTACTCTAGCTGAGTTAGGAAGAAGAGCTCGAAAACGATCACAGTGTAGTAAAGCAGGCAGTCCTCCAGCTGAACCACCTGCGAGAATGGCCTGCCAAAACAATAGTAGAAAATCGTAAAATATTGAGAAATACTGTTTATTTGGTATAACGAAAGTCATTTTTTAAAAAAATATTTTTCGCAAAAAACTTTTTTTAGTGTTGACGATTTACTGATACTAAGATAACATACATTTTTTGCATCCTTCATCCCTTTCGCCAAGAAATGTTCGATCAATGCATGGAAAATCCTTGCTCCTCTAAAATGAAGGTTAGTGACCTAATAAACATTAGCATATTATGAGGAAAATGCATAATTAATTAATCTAGATCGGCAAAATTGTTCTTGGATTGGTGAAAATTTCAATTAATAAAAGAGTAAATACTCCGATTCCTTTCAAAATGTATAAGAATATGTAAGAAGCTGAGCTTAAATATGATGATGTACCGGATCAACTATTTCAACGTCTCCTGTGAACGATGCTCCATCGCAATATATAACCATTACTCTATTCCAATTGTAGAAATCTAAAATTTTAAATATAAGATAATTAAATGAGAATATTTAGAAATGATAATATGATTTAGTGATAGTGTAAGTACTAAATGTATTTTACCTGGATTCAGTGTTTTGTTGTTGCTAAGTATTCCATAAAATGATCTTTGCTTTGGAGCAAGTTTTGAGGAACCTTTTTCTGTCTTTGTGCGATTGAGGCAATCTATCACGTTATAGCACCATTCTCCTCCCTTAATAATGCAATATGAAAGTAAGAATTAATTAAGATTAAGATACAAAATTATTTGATAAGATTTTGTACGCAAATGCTTCAAGTTTTTAATGTAACTATTATTTCCATATATAGCTCATACCCTAAAGTAGATAATCCAATTATTAGCTCCTTCTCCATGTCCCTTGTCGTAATAGAATGCTGGTGGAGACCCATCCAAGCAAACTAAAAGCATATAAAGATCCAAATATCATTAATATGGTTATATATGCTCATTGCATATGATATTAACGTTGGTTAAATAACGAAATATTTTANGGCAACACCCTTTGTGCATTTACATCTTTCTCACCGTGCATACATATAACAGTACCAACTAGGTAGGAGAAATACCAATAACAATAAAAAAAAAAAAAAAGTGGAGGCACACAGAAAGCAACAACGACTACAAATCACATAGAAATCATAGGTTCACAATAACATCTCAAGATAAAGGCATGAATGTATACACAACAAAACGATATCACAATATAATGTATGTCCCCCGTCCTCGCCTGCACGGAAACACCCTTCGTTCCGTGAATATATGATAATATAAAAATAATTGCACGGCATCACCCTTCGTGCTTTTACTCTCATCCTCACCTGATAATATAAATGCAATAGCATGGCATCACCCTTCGTGCTTTACACTCTCAATGGCACGGCATCACCCTTCGTGCTTTACACTCTCAAATGGCACGACATCACCCTTCATGCTTTACACTCTCAAATGGCACGGCATCACCCTTCGTACTTTACACTCTTCCTTACCAAGCACATGTATATCATTAACAAGTAAGGCAGGAAGCATAAATAACATCAAGGAGAGTGTTTAAACCACAACAAAATACAACAATTCTTATCATAATTTTCCACTCACCACAACCAAATTTCGAGTATGTAGCAGAATCAATAAATTTGTCAACAAATAGCCCAAGGCTCCACAAAACGTATAATAAACCTTAAAACAATCAACAGAGATGAAAAATACTCAATATAGGGCAATGCCTTCATTAATCCAAATTTTTGATAATTATATTAACTCCTCAATTTAAGCTTATTTAATAAATATTACAAATAAGGATTCCATCATGAATTTAATTCCAAGAAAATATTAAATCAACAAACACACGGAATTCATATAAAATCCAAGTGACAATAACACCAAATTATTATATAAAATACAAACTTGACAAATGAGGAACGAGGCGTAATAATCCAAGGATTTACTAATGCCAATAATTATCTAACTTAATACGTAAGAATGCCTAAAACTTTAACCAATAAAATTTGCACATATAAGTCCAAGTATGTACTTGTCACCTCGCGTACACTGCTTTTCACATTTCAAAAATAGCACATAAGACCTGATGCCTAAGGGGTAATTCCCCCACTCGAGGTTAAGCAAGACACTTACCTTATTGAAGTTATGCTGATATTCCAAAATCGCCTTGTTGCATGAATTTGACCTCCGGACAACAAAAATCTATCCAATTCAATTTTATAATTTTATTAAAATTCATCGGAAACAATTCCGGATAATAATACGTCGACTTAAAAAGTTATTCCAAAAAATCAACAAAAGTCAACGAGGGGCCCGCCTTTCGGAACCCGGTGGAATTTTTACGAAATTCGAACACCCATTCCGATACGAGTTCAACCATACCAATTTTATCAAATTCCGATAACGAATCGACCTCCAAATCTTCAATTGAAAGTCTATAAAATTTCTACCATTTTCAACCCAAAAACACTAATTTAATGATTAAAACAATAATAGATTCGGGTAATTTAATCAAAATTGCGTTAAGAACTCTTACCCCGATGTTTCCCTTGAAAATCTCCTGAACATCGCCTCTCCCCGAGCTCCAAATCGTCAAAGATGGAGTCCCATTTTCAGAACTTAAATCTGCTGCCCAGTCATTTCCTCTATGCGATCGCGGACAAACTCCCACGATCGTGAAGCATAAAATTATTCTAGCATTTTTTTACTCTATGCGATCGCGGCCATTCTCCCGCGATTGCGAAGAAAAAAAATTTCCAACAACCTTCTCCAACTCTTCCGGACAGCCTCTAGTATAATATCATAACCTTTTGTACAAAACTCCAAATAACAAATGATTTATCTTTCTGAAAACTAGACATCAAGATCTACAACTTTGAAGTTTTGGCATTTTCCAATTCCTTATAGATTTCGAGATATAAGCTGCCAAAATCAGCCCTGTGTAACACAAATTTCTTCTTCGTGATTTCCAAACATCTTCCCGGATAGCATGTAGTGTACCAACTATAACTATTTGTACGCAACTCCAAATGCCAAATGGTTTGCTTTTATGAAAACTAGACACAAAGGGATACAACTTTTATTTTTGGATCATCTCTAAATTCCTTATAGATTGCGAGATATAAGCTTCCAAAGTCGGGTCAGCGCAGCAGAAGTTTCCTCTTCGCGATCGCGAAAGCTCATCTGCGATCGCGAAGCACAGGCCAATTTTTCCCATTTTACTCATGGCTATCGCGTCCATTTACCCGCTATCGCATAGCACACTGATGTAGCTAAAAACTAGCAGCTAAAAATGGTCTAGAAATAGTCCGAAACCACCCCAAAACTCACCCGAGCCCATCGGGACCCCGTCCAATCACACCATCCAGTCCCATAACATAACACAGACCTGCTCGAGGCCTCAAATTACATTGAACAACATCAAAACTATGAATCACACCTCAAATCAAAATCTATGAACTTTGAACTTTCAAATTCTATATCTTGTGCCGAAACATATCAAATCAATCTGGAGACTTCAAATTTTGCACACAAGTCATAATTGATATAACGAAGCTATTCAAATTTCCAGAATCGGATTCCGACCCCGATATCAAAAAGTCAACCCCTCGGTCAAACTTTTTAAAAATTCGACTTTCGCCATTTCAAGCTTAGTTCCACTACGGACCTCCAAATAATTTTTCGGAAACGCTCTCAAGTCCAAAATCACCCAACGGAGCTAACGGAACCGATGGAACTCCATTCTGGAGTCGTCTTCACACATTTCCGACTATGGTCAAAATTCTAAGACCTAAGCTTCCATTTTAGGGACCAAGTGTTCCAAATCACCCTGAATCATCTGATAACTAAATTCAACCACACACGCAAGTCAATACGCATAATAAGAAGCTGCTCAAGACCTTAAGTCGCTGAACGGGGCGTTAATTCTTAAACAAACGTTCGTCCTCGAACGTGCTAAGAATCTTTCTGAGGACTTTAAATTACTGAGTGTATTCTTACACACATACTTGTGGGTGATTCTACGTTCCCGCAATTTAACACGGGTCCAACAATACCATCTCAATTGAAATTATTTCTTTTCTCCATTCTTATAAGCTTTAAAGCAAAATCCTTAACTCTCCAATCATTTCCAAAATGTCTGATTTTCACTTCAACGCACAATATTAGTCTCAATTGTCTATAGCAACTCGTGCCTACGCACACATCAACTTTCTTGATAGTGTTGAAGTACTCCGGGGTGTTATATCCTCCCCCGCTTAGGATCATTCGCCCTTGAATGAGAAGTAGAGTCCGCCCTCAAACACATAACATAACTTTTCTCTTCTTTCGCACATAACAATCTCCCAAATTTTTCTAACTCCCAAATTTTTTTCAGAAATTTCGGCAGAGTCTCCCCTATAAATGGGCCTATCCACCTACCAGAGTAACAACAAAACAACTCCTAACAACACATCCACAACCCAACAAAATACCGCAAGGTATATATCAATAGCACTAATCTCAGCATTACAAACATTGCATTACTATAATGATATCAGGACATGAAGGACATCATATGTATGCCCATCACCACATCTCTGGTCTTAAAAGTTGTTCATAATTAATTCCAGCATCATCAATTAATCTCATATTAACCAAAACCTTGTTTCGAATTTTTACAACACTAACAACAGAATATGAGGCATGCAGACCTCAAAACTATTTATCCGATTTAACGAGTCACATTTAACGCCACCTGGCACTCACATCGTAGGCTAAAACTCAATAATTACAGCACACTTATGGCACAGAAACACATAAAGGAATTATTATATAAGCCTATCAGGCATAACTCCCCATTAGTACTATAGTACAAATTAAACTTCATAAAGGGAGAATTTTAAACTCATAAATATTTTACCACAAGGAACTCATCCTTATATAACCTCCACTGCGGCTTGTAGCCCGATTTATATATTTCACATCATATAAAAATGCGAGGATCTCGTCCTCAACTCCGAATCACAAGTATTAAATTTTCAATTTCCTTTCTTTCTTCTTTTCAATAAATTTCGTAAACACATAATGAACCCTCATACCGGTAGGGCACAAAATTCATTAAAAAAAATAGAATCAATTATTCCGAAACACATAAAACCCATTGTAGTGAATAATAAAAATTACTCTCGGACTTATAGCCCTCAATGGTGCACAAAAATAAAAATGACAGACACGGCTCACATCTTCAAATCTCCCAACAGGGATAAACATATAAGTGGGTCACACAATTACGAAGCTCACCCATAAGCGGAGCATGATAGGAGGACTCACCTCAATATTCAGAATCGAATTAAATTAAGGGAAAATATCCTTTTATAACAAAAAATCAGGATCGTACCTGTAACGACACCATCTGGTGTGTCGACCTCAGCCCAAATCATAGCGATTATATCAACGGATCGGGCCTCCACCTCCTAGGTGCCCTCTACCCGCCTGTCCTCCACCTCTAAATGACTATGCACGTGGAGTATTAATTGCAATAAAGCTTGTAGCCCGAGTGTTCTGATGAAATCTACCCCTCCCAAGTCTAGGACAATTTCTCTTGATGTGTCTTGTATCACCACTCTCGTAACAACCCCTCTGCGGGTGCGGGTGCTCATATTGAATCTCTGCTGGATAACTGGAATAACCACTGTAAGAACCCCGTGCTGGTGGTGCATTAAAAGAACTTACTGTAGTACCCCGAATATTCTGAAATTGTTTCTGTGACCCTGTTGGTACTGAAATGTAGAATTATTAAGGACGCAGGAATACCGCAAGCACCAGCATCATCCCATACAGATCTCACCTCTTAATCATATACAAGTTTCGGAGAACCTTTCATCGCTCGTAGGACATCGGTCATAAGATACCTCAAGCC